AAGTAGCGCATAAACTATTCAAGGGCTCAGAACCCGCCGAGGACGGCCGAACGAATCGGGCTGTTCCACATTCATCCTATGACTTCTCATCCCACATTAATGTTTTTCCTCAATCTATTTTTATCTACATTCATCTGATAAGAAATATTTTTATTCCTAGCTAGCGATCCGACCCAGCATCGCACGGGTAGTTAGAATTTTTGAAAATATTAACCTACGTTATTCCATGATAATAATAAATGTAGCTCTCTATAGGTATAAGAATTTTTAAAATCTGTCGAGTAATTTTTAGTTTATCAATAACTATACAATCGAATCTTTCTTCTTTAAAATTTTAGTATAGATTAATTCTCCTAAATTTCTATAACTAACTCCACTGATGAACAAGTTTTCGTGTGAATAGACTGAATAATGGAAAAAAATATTTTGGTAGTGCGAAATATAACAAGTCTGTATTAAAACAATTTTAAATATAAACGTATACCTATGAATGTCCTGTGTGGTCCTTTCTTTCTTTCCAGAAGGTTGGCAACCGCAGTTAGGCTTTGGTGTTGTTTAAAGAGAGACGCTGCTGCCTATCCCACGATCATTAAAACCTCCTTAGTCGCCTCTTATTACATTCTCTGGAAAGTAAGGGGTGGCTTATGCCGGGATTACACAGCCACGTAACATACTCATAAAAAAATGAAGTCGAAATAATTCCTTGTAAGTTAAAAGTGTTTTAAAATCTACAATTTGAGATGAATAAAGAATGTTGTATCTAATAGAATGAGTGCCCATAGAACGTGTACGGAACAACCCAACAAATCCTCGCACACAATAGACACGACCTCGCAAAATCTATAAAATTTATATCTAACCTCGATATCAGTAGAGAGAATACGTAATGAACATTAGGAACAAAGGCGTGGGAAAAGAGTCGATCTGGATCGTAGGTGCGAATTGATAACGTTCCATTTGCCAACACAAACTTAGATCTTACCGCGTTAATAATAAAATCGAAATTGGATTATTTGACTTTCGCTTGATATGAAGCAATTATAACAATATAGGGAATGAATCTTTATGAAGATAGAAATAAAGTGCACGTTCGAACAAAGGGGAATGCGCGGCTCTCCTGAAATATTAGTGTTGTTAGGATTTCTGCCAGTGAGGTTTGTCAGTCTATCGTCTTGTAAGTTTTCGTTTCAAAATCGAAAAATATATTTACTCTAAATGTTTTGCCAGGCGTTATCTCGTACAAATTATATTTTATTCTATTTTCATTGGAAAAGGTCTTTTTTCATAATTTTTTTTACTCACACTACTCTATGTAGTATTTTTCTTAATCACAAATTCAGGTTGGTATTTTGTAACCTGTACCTAATACTTTAGAATGAGACAGTTTGTATTGTAATGTAAATTGGACTCTATTTTTTACGTCCAGAAGCACAGAATCTTCTTCGGATTTTTACAGGATTCACTGAGCGACCTTACAAATGACACAGTTTATATTAAAGGTCATTTGATATTTAAAAGTAAGGTTTAAGATTAAATTACAAAAATCAGAAGGAAACTATATAAAATTCGTCAGATTGGGGTACCTCTGTTCCATTCGTGTTTCTGCCGTGAAACAGTTGTGTTTGCACTGTGTTTCGGTATGAAGAGTGGGATATGGCAGACGTCTTAGTCTTCAGAAATGGCAATGCAAGAGGGGCATAATTGGCGATACAGTATGCTCTATTATGTTCATGTCTGTAGGCGAAGTTTATCACTTATCATCAGCTTGTTTGCCATTCTGATTAGCATAAAGTATGATACTAAATTGGACTTTATCCCGTATTGTTTGTATTTATGTTGACGATAGTTACCATTTGCCAGATTGACCACTGATTAATTAAAAAGCTAAGATATTTGTGCTTATTCTTTGTGATGGTACAATGAGAATTCTATTAATGAACATCTGGTAGCACAATCAATAAAACCTAGGCCAAAGCTAATTAAACAGACTCGTTTCCACGGCCGACAATTGGGACTCATTTGTACGAGAATTATCACTGTATTACAGAGTTGCCTAACTGAATTATTGCTGAAATGTTTATTACCTGATTAATTAGTGAATAGATAGTAATTAACAATTTTATTGTAGTTACTTTACTGTTATTATAAAACATGTACTTATTTATATATGTTATTTATTAAACATTAATATATTTAAACAGCATGTAGTCCCCGCATATAATTTGCCACCCCATCTTTTGTTTTTTATACAGCTTAGAATGGCAAACAAGTTGACGGCCCACCTGATGGAAAGTGGTAACCGTCGCCTATAGACATGAGCAGTACCATGGACATAACAGTATACTGTTTCGCCCATGATACCCCCCATGCGTTGACATTCCTGAGGACTCAGATGTTATTCCTCTGTATCCAGTAAATTCCTTTCGCGTGAGTGTCGTAAGAGGCTACTAAGGGAGGCCGAGGGGTTGGCAGCAGCATCCCTCTTGAAACATATCCAAATCCTAACTACAGTTGCCAATCCGCCTGACAAATGTGGCAACTGCTGGCGAAACCCCCCAAGGGGAGGCTTATGTTCAGCAGTGGACATTTAAAGGCTGATCTAATGATGATATACATTTATTTGTTAAGGCACTGAGACTAAATAAATAAACACACGAAATCCGCCATTGTACTCATTCTTTTTATAAGAACTATATATCCTATAATTTAAAAGCTTACTGTATTGTATATAATAAGTGTTATTACCAAACAAACAAACACTTTTACATTTATAATATTAATATGGATTTGTTGCTCAGTCATTAAATTATATTTTAACGCTGTATTCTATGATTACCAGAGGGAGACTTTGTACAAAAGTCTATTGCTTGGGTGCCTCTGTCCCATTCGTGTTTCAACCGTGAAGCAGTTGTGTTTGCATGGCTGTGTTTCGGTTTGAATGGTGGGATATGGCGTGAATTTACTGGGTACAGAGGAATAACACCTGAGTCCTCAGGAATAGCAACGTATGGGGGGTATCATGGGCGAAACAGTATACTCTGTTATGTCCATGGTACTGCTCATGTCTGTAGGCGACGGTTACCACTTTCCATCAGGTGGGCCGTCAGCTTGTTTGTCATTATAAGTTGTATAAAAAAAATCAGTAAAATAGAAATTTGGTATACAGGTGGACTTAAATTTATATAGGATATATATATTCTGATTCACAAAAGCAAAGCTGTTGATAAAAAAGAGTTAATTCTATAAGAATTCAAAGATACTTTTTTGTCATAAAATTTCCAAGTTTTATGCCATAGGACAAATACGTCATTATTACAAATATTTGATTTGGCTTTTATGTTGGACGAAGCTACCTTTTTCTTGAATAGGCACGTTCAGAAGTTAATACAAAGGAAAGCAAATATTTATTTCAGTAAGTAATCTAATCTCATCACAGTTTGAAGTGGTCAGAATTTCTTTCAAAGTATAAGAAAGGTTACGTTCTTCTCGTAAATGTCATTAATAAAATATTGTGACAATTAAAATATACTACAAAGTAATATATATATATAAAGAAATACTGTAAATTGGAATTCAAATAAAACGAATAACAATAAAACGGTATAAGACTCAAGGTTGTATGGTTTACTTTTATAGTGGTGAAACGATTTGACATACTAACTCGACGAAACGCTAACGAAATGCTTTCTTACTGTACTGGGTTGACTGGAAGAGATCTCTGTTAGAGATAAGTCCAGACTTGCTCACAACATTTATAAATACATTATTTTAACTTTTATTATTATATATTATACTATTAGTAACTTACAAGCGCAATAAAGAATATATATATCGTATAAGAATATATACGTCGTAAGGCGTTATATATATATATATATATATATATATATATATATATATATATATATATATATATATATATATATATAACGCCTTACGACGATTGCGGGGTTTATCTTTAAATGGTACTATTTTGTATTAATTAGAATGTTTAACTTGAACTGCTTCCCAGTTTTAAAAAAGTTGCACTGCGTGATATGTGCAGGGCTGTTTATTTATTTAAATTGATGACTAATAGATCGCTTCCCTTTATCACTTGTTGTTATGACAGACATGACATTTTATACAAGTTTTTCTTACATAATATATGTATGTAAGTTAGTACCAAGAAGGGTTTTCACAAAGTTTTCGAAGAGAAACAAGACGATTTAGCTCTTGCTCGGTTGGTAAATGTCAAGAAATCTCCTGACAAGAACTCTTTCTTTTAATAAAATTTCGATAAAGAGTTAAGATAATGTTTTAAAATAAATGTGACATGAGACGTAAGATATCTCGTATAAGAATATTTCACATGATCAAACTAGGCAAAATAGTGGCAAAATGAAATATGCGATCAAAGAAATACGTATAAAGCGAAGCCTCTTCTAACGAAACGTAGAGAGAACACAGAAAGGAGGCGAGCGTTATTTTCAAAACGTTAAGCTCTTATAACGATCACAAGTTCCAAAGTAAATAAAAGAATACATGGTAATAAGTTACGTAAACGGTGAGAGGAGAGAAATAATATATGAATATAAGCAAAAACGCTTTGAACTCGCCTCGTTTGATGTTCAAGTGTATATAGAGACGTGTAAAAATTCCACCGTCCCGACGCGTAACTTCTTCACAGCCTTCAACTTTGAAGGATCTCAAATTTACATAAGCATTCGATTCAAAAATGTATATAAACTAGGAGTGTGCTGCACAGGTCCACGAACCGACTATAACTCAGTGTAACAGCGTCATTAAGGCGCGACAATGGCGTCGATAACTAATAACCGAAAGACTACCACTTAAGTCTTAAGGGGTGAGAGAATGTCTATTGAAGCTCAGTGACAGGGAAAGGTTTCTTTCTGATGTGATTTTTTTGCGAGCTGAATTGCAGTGGGGTTGATGCGGGCGCGTGCGGGGGAGGGGGGACGGCCGGGCTCAGGCGTGCGCAGCCGGCAGTATCTGGTCGGTGCGCGCAACGAGCGGACCTCCGCCGCCGCGCCCTCTCCGCTCCGGTCCCACGTTGGGCGCCATCCATTTGTACCGCGAAATCGGCTTGTTATTATCATGTGACGATATTATGCTCGACGTATATGCATTGTGCTGGTAAATGTTAAGTGAAGGATTACAACATAAACAATTAGTGTTTCGTGTTTACACTACTTTGCGAAACATCGCTGTACGAAACCGGTACACAAATTTAAGAACAAATCTCAGTTATCGTACAATAAACAAAATTTATGTGCTTAATAATAAATAAATTTATAATTACAGGTGTTAATTCTGTTAACAGTTAGTGAAGTGACACGTGACTCTGTGACCATTTATTTACAACGGAACTACGAGGTTTTTGTAAGTACTTACATTTGTAAAGAATTATCGTCTTTTTCTTGTTTATAATTTTGTACCTAATATAATTCTAACAAATATATAGATGTATTGTTTTGTCTTTGTGAACCTACAACGTTACATCAATACATTTATATAAGTGTAGATAGTTTTTCTGTTATATCCGCATAATATACGGAAGTTCTGGAAATTTCATTGAATAATAATAAACAGGCAAATTATTTTAACTGTTAAATTTTACCTTCAAAATACCGCAACTAAATATATAATTAATATATGCACCAGTTAAAGTTGAAATAACAACAGTAAATTTGAATTAATTATAAGAATAGATGAACTTGTAAACGAAATTAACGCGGAAACTGGATCCGCGCACTCCCGTACACAAGTAATTGTATTATTCAGTGCCTGCGTAAACTTTTTATATTCCCTGTTGTATTAATTAAATAAGGATTAATTTCAAACAAAGCAACTCGTATTACCCAGGCTCATTACGATCTTTATTTTCATTATAAGTATGTTGTAATTTGAGATTTTTCTGCGATCCTCGGGAATTCGTTAAAAGTTTATTGGATCATTAAAATATTTGGGCAATCGCGCCGAGGCGAGGAACGTCTGAAGTTTACTTGGAGACGCTTTTAAAATTTTAATCCGAATAAAATTAGATTTTATTAATTATTATAAATTTTATTACGCACTCAACACACTTAATAGAATAATTGATAAGTTATAATAGTCTTTTATTGTACTTAACTATGGTTTTATTAGATGAAAACTGTTAAACATTAAAATAAATAAATTACTATTTGTTATGTTTTACATATAATTGTCACATTTTATTATTATTATACAATATATTTATTATCTTATCAATTTTTTCGCGACTAAATTTACTAAATACGAATAATAAAGGTTATAAAATGGGTTTCAGCTAAACCATGCCGCTCTCCTAAAATCTAAAATATTATGATACAATTACTCTTGGCCTTTTTACTTAAAATAATTAGGACAGAGTGTATAAGTGAGCCGTGTAGCAGTTGTGGTTGCATGGCTGTGTTTCGGTTTGATGGGTGGGATATGGCAATGAATTTACAGGGTACAGAGGAATAATACCCGAGTCCTCAGGAATGGCAACGTATGGAGGGTATCATGGGCGAAAGAGTATACTCTGTTATGTCCATGGTACTGCTCAAAGTCTATAGGCGACGGTTACCACTTTCCATTAGGTGGGCTGTCAGCTTGTTTGCCATTCTAAGTTGTATAAAAAAACTATCAGTATTATTAACCAATGACGATTAGAGAAATAAAAGATACCATTTCTAAGATGGATGATCGTATCAGAATACTCTTGTTGGCATTTGTTATGAGTAGTTACAAAAAATACATGAGCATGCATGCATGCATGAGGCAGTAGCGTCCCTCTTAAAACGTCACCAAAGCCTAACTGCGTTTGCCAACCTACTCGCCAAACATGGCAACTATTGCAAACCCCTCCAAAAAGTGGTGGCCTATATTCAACAGTGATGACGATGATGACAAAAAATACATTAAGATAAAAAAATATATATTTACATTAGAAGTCAAACTTTATATGAAGTCAACTGCCTAAGTATTCTAGTATGAAGGTGATGATATGACAGTTAAATTATTCAGTACCGATGCATGTTGCATAATATCTTAGTCCTCAAGAATGATGGAATAGGGGGACAATATGCGGATCATCACAGTGAATGATGAATTAAAAAGTATTGATGATATTTAGAATAGCGAACAAACTGATGGTTCATCTGATGGAAAATGGTAACTGTCATCTATAGACATGAGCAGTACTATGGATATCATAGAATACACAGTGACGCTCGTCTCTCTCATGTGGCATACTGTTAGGTCTTTTTTACCTTCTAATTTCATTGCTTTATCCTATCCATCAAACTGAAATACAGCCTTGCAAGTACAGCTGCTGTATGGCGGCACACGAGATGCCCATGCAGATGGCTTTTGTACAAAGACCCCTTCTGGTATAAACATGTCGCTGTTCATGACTATAAGTTTTTTTTAATGAATGATAATGGAATGGTAACCCCACCCGTGGTATTGGTATACACCGGCGGGGTACCAGTGAAGGATCATAGGTGAGGATGAAGTAGGTCAGTTAGTCCATCGTGACGAATTCAACAAGAATTGTTCACGATGGTTTCCAGGGGGAATCACGTAGAAGTCGATCTGATAAGGCATATTGCTAGCAATGGGGCTGTCAAACTCCATTGCTAACTATACCTTTCCCCCGCTATAAGTGCATTTTCTGCCACGTAGACTCTTACCTTGTTTACTATTTTAAGTGAAATAAAAAAGTTTCAAGGCTGATAATATTATCCGAATTGGGTTTAGGCAATGGGTGTGGGTATGATAGCCTCTTATGGCAGGACAAAGCCAAGATTTAGTGAGAATGCGTGGGTGCGGTTGTTTAGGTGATATTCGAATGTACGAGTTATTTATATCGAATTCTATACCGTTTTTGAATTCATTTCAATATTATATCTGTAATATTTTTGAAAAGGAAAATTTTAATTGAATAGAATGGGAATCGTCTTTATTCAAATAAACTTGTTTACAAACTTTTTTAAATCGTATTCTCTACTGCTGCGTTTAGAACGTTGTTATCTTTAGAGAAGAACTCGCAAAAAACTCAGCAGTGACTCGTTTTCAATTTACTAGTGAAAAAGATAATTTTGCATTTGTATGGATACTGTGATTATAATTACCATCAAGTTTTATTTACATGTTTTATTCAAAGTAATGTTGTACAATCATTTATAAATGCACAGTAAATATGGGTAGATCAGTCCCACAACAAGTAGTTCCCATTTTCGAGAATGACGGATGTGACCAAAAAGGTGAAATTTGAATCTGCGTCTACCCTAATTAAACTATATTGTGTATTTTGCTTCGTAATGCCAAAAAATGAACAATCGTTATATTTTTTACATTATCTATCGATGATAAACTATGTGATGATAATGTACTGCATTGATTTGTTATTTTTTTTTTATAAATCACTTGTACGCGCGACTTTGTTCACATGGAATTTGTAAAGGCAGCTTACATCTTTTTTTTATCAAATATATATATTATAGATGGAAAGATAAATAATTTATTTGCATTACTTATTTTATTAATATTTTTATATATTATGTCATATATATTTTTAGTATGTACCAAGTTTCAAGATGATTGGCTAAATAAAACAGTGAAAAGAAGTAACAAAGAAATAATTAACAAACTCATTTTATATCGTTAGTAACGTCCAATAAGGATTTAGGAAAACATGCTATAATTCTGCTGTAGCACTCATTATATACTTGCAATAATAAAAGCGTGATGAGTAATATTAATTTACGAAGTTAAAACGATTCTAAATTCAATTTGTAAGCGATTGTCGAACAAAGTATATTTAGGAGATTTACTTCAATATCCTCTAGTATCTCCAAAATATGATTTGCCCCTTAAGAATATTGATTTCGCCGAGCGGCACCGCGACAAAAGCTGATAAGTCAATAAAACAAAGGAAACGGCGATGCGTCGATATGATGAGAGACGTTGATATTAATATTAAAGCAGCTCCTCTCACAATCGGATTGATTCGTGTACGACGACGTTACGTACGGTTTGTTTTGTGCGAATACGCCCAGATGAATCAACGTTATTGATAAAATGAACAGCGACGCGAGCCGAAAAACAATTCGGATCAACATGCCGTAGTTTGCTCTCTCATAATTTGAATTTCAAATTCACTTTAAACGACATGTTGTATGACTTTGCTATGGTTTTTGCAGTGTGTAATTTTAAGGTAACCAGAAATTTGTAAATGTTGGCCAAACAAGTTAAACGGAAAACAGTTTTGATGATATTTATAGTCAAAAAGGGATTTCGAATTTGAATTTGACAAATACTTAGAGGTAATTTTGCGTTGGAAGAAATCCTGAGCGTTTTGGGCGTGTGAATTTATTATATTTCCCGTTCCAGGAAAAAAACCCAAAATCCTATTTTAGTAGATGTCATGACGTAATTGAGTTATTTCCGTTGAAAATTTCAAGCTTCCTTTATATTGTACTAGCTGTATTCCTCGACTTTGCTCCCGTAAATCAATAAGGACATGAAGTATCCTATGTATTAAGTTATGATATAATCTATGTACCAAATTTCATTCAGGTACATTCATTAGTTTTTACGAGAAAATATAACAAATATCAGTCCGTCTATCCGTCGTCACAAACTTTCGCATTTATAATATAGTAATTATAATAGTAAGATTTGAATATTTTGTAATCAAATACATGTTTAGGCCTTTAATCTCAGAAGGGGTATTCAAAAACATTTCACCTACTGTTGTGGAGAACTTAACACACTGTATGTTTGTATCAGTATGAAGATTATTCTAAGACTGAGATCCAATGTGGCACAGAGTGGGCTTACTGCCGTACCTTGGATTATTTTCGTCGTCCACTAAGCCATATAAGCTCCGTGTACATACGTGTGTCATATGAGTGCCATACAAGTAGTGGGAAAGAATAAAAGTTAGTGCGAAAATAAAATGAATATATTATTGAATTGCAAGTTAATACAAGGAATTTTGTCATAAATTATTTATTTATTTATTTAAAGGAACACCAACAGCATATTGCATTATAAGTTGTAATATCAGTAAATATGATTATAAGTGAATTAAATTATATATATATATATATATATATATATATATATATATATATATATATATATATATATATATATATATATATATATATACATATTTATTATGATAATTAAGAGTTACTTATTATTAGATCACTGTACAAAGTATTTCAGCAATTTATTTCTGTAGGAATTCGAACTATCATGCATTATATCAATTTTAGGTAATTTGGCATTAATTTCATTGTTTTACGTACAAATCCTGGACAATTTATTACTGAGAATTTTATGAATAAACATTAAATCTGCAA